ATATTTTATTTATTATTTTTATTTTATTTTATGTGTATGAGTGTATTGCCTGGATGTATGTAAGTGCACCCATGTTGTGCAATGCCCACCAAGGTCAGAAGAGGGCATCAGATCCCCTGGAACTGGAGTTGTGGACAGTTGTTCACCACCATGTCTGTGTTGTGAACTAAACCCAGGTCCTCTGCAAGAGCAGATAATGTTCTTAACTGCTGAGCTATCTCTCTAGTCCCCCAAAGAAAACTTTAAACAGTGTGTTTCAGGAGCAGCAGCTCACCCAAGAAGGCTTTATAATTTTTATTTATTATAGAAAACATAGAAATATTAACATAGAAATCATTTTAATAGCATACTGAATCATAACTTAGATTAAATCAATTTCATTTTATTGATTATATTTACTGGCACATTATAAAACTAGCTAAATAATTGATGCATGTTAAAAACTATGTTAAATTATGTTTTTCTGAGAATTAATATTCTGTGTTTTCCTGAACTACTTATGCCCAAATAGATGGCTGTTGTTTGTTTCAAAATCACATATAATTTTAAGGACAATGGTGGACACATAATTCTATTTCTGTTTATTCCACAGAAATTCTGAAAGGATTAGGTCATATGGTATGATCATTTTTATGACTCTTGAACTCTGTCTTTGGTTATTTCTAAAGACGTCTTAATAATTCGCCAACAATATATGACTCCAGAAGTTTTATTTTATCTTTGCTAGCTTCGCATCTTTTATTTGCATGATTATTTAAGGTAAAATTTACCCCTCATTATTACAAATTCATGGAATTTTTAACAACATTTAAGAAGTAACATAGCAACATTATCAGAAACAGAATTTTGGGCATCTTCACATCAATGGAAACCTCTTCTAATTTTTTCCATTTCACTGATTCAGTGCTAGGTGCCGGCTGTGCTGGTGCTAGAGCGCACTCCTTTGTTCTTATTCACCACAGTGTTGCTCTGGGAGTTCACAGAGCAACCCGCCAGTGCATCCATTACCTTTCTGTTTCACCTTGGCTGCTCGCTCAGCTTCCCCTTTGGCATTTCGAGCGTGACAGATGTAGCTGCGCCTGAGATCCTCAGAACTGACTTTCTTGATGCTCAAAATCTGAATCCTTGTTTCATCTTCTGTTTTAGAATAACTTACACTAGACACAGGGAGAAGAAACAAACTGTTATGAGACTCAAGGGCTCTGCCCTCTGTGTAAATCAGAAGTAAGCAGTCCCAGAGTCCTCAGGTGAGGGCAGATGAGTGCTGGCAAGTAGATGTTAACACTTTCCCATCATACTACACACTGCCCTAACGCTGGAGAAATTCCTGTGCTGGGTTCCACTACAGTTCTTTACTCCTAATTCAACATGTCACCTTTGCTTCTAACAGTCAGCTCGGAAAGACTCTTCTGTGGTAAGACTCATATGAGTTTTGCTGTATTCTTTAGTCAATGTCACTAATCTTTCCATGTTTGATCTCTGTTTTGCAAAACAGGAAAATGGAAATTCCTGTAGAGTGTATTGTATGAATTAAATTACTAAAAAAATTCTGAGGCCTGAATATGCACCTAGATTACAGTGATGCTTGATGAACGCTTATGTAAGCTATTATTATAAACTCACAATAGTAACTGCTACACCAGTGATTGCAAGGCCTGACTTCTGAACACAGGTAGAATATATTGGTGAAGATGTTGAAATCTCGTTAAATCCTGACATATGACAAGAAGAAACAGCTCAGAGCAGCAAAACTGAACTCTGAAAATAAATATCTAAACTCCAGTGAGTCAAAGATCAAATGTTTTGTGTCTAAGATCAAGATTTAAAATCCCTTTGAATTACCTGACTCAGAGGGATATAGAAACATCTCTCCTTTAGCTAACCAACAGCCAATTTTTCCTTTGGATTAAGCCTACTGTCAGTCATGCAAATTTGGTTAAGGGCCCTGTTGGTTTCTCCTCAGCTGAATTCCCTCCTATACTGAACTCTGAGAGTGTGTCTTAATCACAGCATGGGGGGATAGTGTGATTTCTGTTATCATTATTTTTTATTCATTATGAAGATGAGAATCACAATTCTCAGAATTCCAGAAATGATCAATAACTCTCCCTTGAAGCCTCTAGCCAAATTCTTCATCAATTCCATTTAAGGAACCTCCTTCATTGTATCTTTTGAATTGTCGCTGTTTCTCCAACATTAAGTTCTTTGCATATAATATTCATTTTACCACCAATAGTCCTTCTACTTCCAAATATGGCAAATTTGATTTTTGTGCTGTGACATTTCTGGGGTATCATTTAACTCCCTAAAACTGACCAAATCCCCTAAGCATTCCTCCTGTAACACCCAGTCCTTTGCAGTCATCTATTTATCATGCAACATTCAAATGCCTGTTCTGTCATAGTGTCTCCCATTTAGTTTGGCTAAGTAGGGAGAAAGCTGCTCAAAGTAGATATTTTATAATTTCTACAAAATCTGAACTTACTATTAAGAAAATAATGGGTTCTGAGTTATAAAAATCTGAGCAGCTCAATGTCTGTTTGCACAAGGTGATAAAACAGAATCTTCTAACTACTCTATCACATAGCTAACCAGCTGCTGATTTCAGCAGTTGTTGTAGCTAAACAATTCTCTTTGGCAATTTATATTTCACTTATAGAGAAACCTTCTGTCTTCAAAGATTCCTTCCTTTTTGTGAACTCCTTAAAAATATCAAGTTTACTTTAGAATAATCCAAGTTTTCATTTTTAGAATAAGCTGTATTGTTAGCCATTGAGTTTCAAGCAAAGTTGAAAGAACAAAAATGTAGTTAGTTAATATTTAAATTAATAATTGTCAAGTATTGAGGAGGAGGAGAAAGACAGGAAGTACAAAGTTACTTTAATAAAAAAGAGCTAAAAACAATTATCTGAGACACAAATGCCTTGACTATAACTCCAGGACTGAGAAAGAGAACACAGCTTCTTTCATGTAACCACATCCATATTTCTGCCTTTTATACCTCTTTTCATTCATGTAGGAAATACATTCCATATGTTTCCAAGAGAGTATCATAAACATTTTTTTGCTGAGCTTAAGACAACATGTTGCATGCCCTATCTGCCAAATGTGATGAAGATTCCTAGACTCAGGACAATGTAATTCAAATCTCTGGGAGTTATTAGGCATGACCATGGACTGCATCCTGGTTTGGGATATAGCCATTGAATATTTGAAAATATGGCTAGATTTTATTGAAAGGAAAAGATAATAGTGTACATTTAATAGTATACACCTAAGATCTTAGCTTGACATGCAAAGACCAGTCACCCCGGGCATGCCCATACGATACCTTTCATTAACAGCTATGTCAATAGTGACATCCTCAGGCTTTTTTCCATCAACGGTCCACCAAATCTCATTGTGGGAGTCCATAATGAAAGTGAAATATACTTTACAGGGAATGAGTAGCTCCTCTCCTAAAAACCAAACCAAGCTCAAAGATGAAAGTAACCAACATTAATCATCAATATGTAAATTTCATAGGTTTATATTGTCTGATTTTCTAGTGGCTACCATAAGGTAAAATATTATATGTCATCCTCACACCAAACACAGACAAAATGATAAGAACAAGATATAAGTTCAGCAACTTTATACAGTTATCAGAATGACCATTTTTGAATGTAACCTAAGTATGCTCTAGTGTGCCAGAACAACTCTGGCTAAACTATTTTCAGTCCTATATCTCTGTGGCCTCACTCCTCTTTCGTTATTTCTCTGGTGAACAAAGGGGCTCTTTGGTCCTTGTCCAAGGAAAAGGAAGTGATGCATCACTAAGAATCTGGCTCAGGAGTACTCACTTTGAGCTGTCAGAGCATACTCACCAAATTAAAGAGAGTTTAAAAAAGAAATTCTAACTATCCTGGTGAGATGGTTCAGAGATTATGGAGTGAGTTTTCCAGGCAGGGAAAATAATTTAACAACGGTGCCCCACCAAATGTACTTACTGCAAATTGCAGAACTAAATGTTTACCATTATAATGCTTTCTTTGTCCATCTCTTATTTATTATTTTATTTCAATTTCACAATTCTATACATGTACACAATAGATTTGGGTCATTTTCCTCCCCCATTCACTCCTCTGCCTGCTCAGAGGAGACCCCCTCCTACTTTGACTTCTTTTGTTGTGAACCACTGAGATGTAACATAGTTATTTGCATGAGCATGCTTAGACGGCTATTCACTAAAGCATGGGAAACATCAGTAGCTAAACCATTGAAGGAAATAACTGATTGTTGAATCCCTATCCCTAAATGATTTTCTTTAGGGGGAGGGTTTTTGTTCTGTTTCTGACAGGGTCTCCCTAATCCCAGCCCTCCTGGAAGTCACTATGTGGACCAGGCTGGCCCCAATCTCACAGAAATCCACCTGCTTCCACCTCCCCTCCGGAGGGCTAGGATTAAAGGTGTGTACCACCACGCCCAGCCCTGTCTCTAAATGGGACATCTGTACTGCCCCCTGCAAGGCTAAGGAAGCATGGCTGAAGATGGGGAGGAAAGAATGTAAAAGCCAGAGGATGAAAAGGAATGCTGTAAATGTGTTCAGTGTACACGACATGGCTGCACACTCGTGAACTCGCCGCAACTGTGGCACCTGCACAATCTGCCCATCAACATTCCAGCGTACATGAGGGGGCCTCATGAGCTCCCACTGCTCCCTGTGGGACTGTGGGTATTAAAGATTAGCAGATGCTTTTATAATTTATATTCATATTCAGCAAATGCTGACACTGATACATGTTAAATAGTATTTATAGGTCAAATTGCTAATAAGAACTGTGTAAGAATTTGACCCAGCTTGGACCAATCTTTCCAGCTTACCTGGAATAATTTTGCTTTATGATTGTTTTCTTGGTTAGCTATTAATAGTGACTGTTTTGCTCTTGAAACATGCCCAGACCCTGATGATATGTTCTGTTTCCCCTCTATTTTAACTTTGGCTTAAGTGACTAGCAGTTATCCCCAACCACTCCAATTCACAGATCCTATAACTTTCCCCTCCTGATTTTGAAATTAATATTTCACTATGGAAAATAAAAAATGAATAAGAATCGAGGAATATTTTTGAAGCATGAAATGGTAAATAGAAAAAACAGATTTGGGTAGTTGGTGCGCTTTTACTTCAGGAGGGGCAAGAATGTTCATATTACTACACGAAGCCCATGCTAACTAGGAAATGCAGCCCCTTTCCAAATCAAACTGTAAACTCCTCAGGCTGTTTTCTTTTTGGCAATGTGCCTGTATGGTCACTGACTCTTGCCTTCATCCACATGGTCAACTCATCTAGGGTAAGTTTATTATAAAGAAGACAATATTAAAAAAGAATTTTCTGCGGTTTTTCTATTTAGTTTACTGGGCAAGGCTTTGAATTAAAATAACATAAACCATCTCTTACTTGGTCATTTACAAATGATTTCTGTCTAGAATGAAAAGTGAGGGTAACTCCTAAAACCAAGGGAGGCATAGCACCCATTTGACAGTGTTCTGCATGCAGATTGCTTCAGCCCATCAGTTTTCCTATGATCCTCATTGTCCTGAGTCCACACTGTTCCCTCCATGGAGAGAGCTGAAGCTTAAAGGCTATCCTGTGCTCTTATTGTAGCCTTGACAAACCAAAGCCCTGTATAAAGTCAAGTTTTCATCAAACACAAATCACAGGGGAAGACAGGAAGCAGAAGAGGAGGGACCAGAAGCTGAGACAAAGCAACAAACTCCTGAGCTGACCTTGATCCTGAGGTAGCTGATCCTCACATGCTCTGAGTTTTTTAATTTATTTTATTTTGTGTTTATGAGTGTATTACCTGCATGCATTTAAGTGCACCGTGTACATGCAATGCCCATGGAGGCCAGAAGAGGGCATTGGATCGGCTGGAACTAGAGTTTCCAATGGTTGTTACCTGCCATGTGGATGCTAGGAACTGAACCTGGGGTCTAGGCAAGAGCAACCATGTTCTTAATTCTTTAAAAACATTTTTTATTTTTTATTTTTATTTTGTATGTATGTTATAACTCATGTATGTAAGTGTACCTGTGTTGTGCAATGCCTGTGGAGGTCAGAAGAGGGTGTAGGATTCCCTGGAACTGGAGCTACAGATGCTTGTTTACCACCATGTGAGTGCTGGGAATCAAACTCGGGTTGTCTGCAAGAGCAGTCAGTGCTCTTAACCACTGAGCCATCTCTCCAGCCCCCAGTGTTCTTAATTCTTAACTGCTGAGTATTCTCTCTAACTCCTGCTATGTGTATGTTTTTTTGTTTTTGAGGGTTTTTTTGTTTTGTTTTATTTACCACAGTTCAAATTAAATCTGTGCATTTCCTTATAATTACCTTTATTGTCTTATACTTACTTAGGTCATACTTTATTTCTTGAAATTAAGAGACTCTAACTGAAGTTCAGAATCAAATCTATAATTACCTGGCTCTTTCTCATAGACAACACGGTCATTTGGTGAATAGATCTGGGGAGGTAAGGCGTCTTTTGGAGAGCCTAAGTTAGAAAAAACAAAAAGGAGATGTTAAACCACCTAGGCTTATGCAAAAATCTTCTGTGAAGCCTTACCGAATTTCCTGTCATAGTTTGTCAATTCTTGAGAGAACCCACAGTCTAATACATTCTCAATTCATGGACTTCACCCATTGAAAATAAGCAAGCTGTGACGTAACAGCTTGGTCTCCACTGCTTACTCCTAACACAGAGCTCCTAGAACACTTCATTTCCTGGGTGTGATGGAGAGCATGAGCTTCTTTTATCTTAGTCCCCAGTTCCTGACCCAAGGTCTTGTAAGACTTTCTGACTCTCCAAAGACTGAGCCCCTAATTTATGGGGCCTGTGTTAACTCCAGGTACTCAATATCAAAGTGAGTTAAACTGGAGGGAATGCAGATGGTGTCTGTGGAGAATTGCTTGCTGTGGAAAATTCGCAGATTTGGTGACAGAAGTGTTATGAGTGCAGAAAAATAGTTTAACTTTGCAAAGAAGTAAACAACACATATTTAGTTTCCTGCACATTTCAGGCAGAGAGTTCACTGCACTAGATTCTTGACTTCTAAAATTCTTGGGACAGAGACTTTCTTATCATATTATAAATAACTGTTTTCATGTCTTCATTATTTTTTCTCTCTTTTTACTTTTTCAGTTTCTAAGCTAATTTTAGCTCAAGTGTATGATACAATGGAACTATATATTTTCAATTTGTAACCTATGCTTATTAGTTATAGCTATTAGCCAAGCATTTCTTTAAACTACTCAGAATTTCTAGTAAAGGATCTGGTTAAATAAATTATGTTTATTTTAAATTTTAAATTTTACTTCATACAAGAACAAACATACTGCATATGTCTACCTGGTTGATATTGGATTACAATTTCAATGTCCATTCATCAAATTGCTATTATTTGCAATAGTCTGTATTTGCAAATTTAAAGTACCTTGAAAGAGCTTTTTAGTATAGTATTTAAAGTATGAATTTCGAAGACTTTCTGACCAGATTCTAATCCAAATTTCTCCACATACTAACCGTATGAACCCACCACTTTATTTAACTCTGAAAGGCAAATTATCTAAAATAATAAATAAAATTCACCTCTCAATTTCATTATGAGGGATATGAATTAGGAAAATGAATTAAGTATAATATACTAAAGCCTCCTTTAGTGATGTGTAACAAATATGCATGTGTTACAGCTTTAAAAAGTGAACAAGTATTGTTTGAAAATGAGGTAGGAATGACCTCTATATCCTACCTGTGTCTGTCAACTTTTACCTCTATGAATCATGGTGACCAAGAATACCTGTCCCCAGCTTTCTAAATGTGAATGCATTTAGATATACATAGGTACATAAATTAGAAACAGCTGCTGAGATGAACAGAGCGAGCTTATATGATTTGTCTGATTCCTGAAACACACTCAGGTCAGACTGCAAATGTGCTCTTCTGCTTTTCTTTTGAATTGATTCCCAATCTTGCATTATTCTAAAAGTAAGCAAAGAAAAGTAACTACAGAACTGTTCTCATTTTTTTTTTTGATATTCTGAATGCTTGTATTTCCTTTTCTTTTTTCCTGTTTTTGTTTGGTAATTTTTAAAGACTCTGGTACCAAAGTCACTAGAGAAAATGTCTGGAACAGACACCCGAGATTTAGAAGCACTAGTGTCCCTGTCTAGCTAAAGATGGGATAAACATCATTAAAGTTTACCGTCTGTTAAATACAAACCCCCACCCATCTTGTTACAGATCTTAGATTGAGACCTTGATCAGCAGTCACATGACTAACAAGTAAAAGTGATATAAACATCCATCTACCCAGCACTGTTCTCATTCCCTGGCATGCTCTGCAACATTCCTTCACACAGTCAGTTCACCAACAGTTCCTGAGTGCCTACTATGTGTATGGACCTGCCACAGACCCTGAGATAGTGCAGCAAAAACAAACCTATATCATTGCTATGGCATTTGAAGAAGATCACTGCTTTTGTGTGACGTACACATAAAGACAAGCCATGCTTACCTACCACCTTCACGCTCACAGTCCTGGTGAGGTGAAAGAGGCGTCCGTTTTCTGGATATGAAACAACACATGTGTAATTTCCATTATTTGAAACCAAAGGAATGAAAAAGCTCAAGCTCATGCCCTCAGGTAGTACATTATGAAAATCCAGTATTTCAGTACAATCCTAGAATAAGAAAGTGTTTCAATGTTTAGATATGTATACACACAGAACACATCTAGAAACAGGCTTTCACACCTGATTTTAGATAGAATGTCCAAATATCTATGCTACACATTTTACAAAAGTATGTAGTCAAGCATTTGATTTTTTTTGTAAAAGAGTACATGGAATAAGTGTAATTAACTTTTCCACATATGAGAAATTTAAATTCTATTCCAAGATATGATTTCAAAATCAGGTGCATTATTCAACTTCTTGGAATCTCATGTTGACAGCGAAACAAGGGTTAAAATTTTGCAGCAACAACTAAGGATGTGTTCAACTGCAAGGTAAGAAAATTTGAGCCCCACCCTTGAAAATAGTCATTTTCCTTTTTCTGCAGTTCCTCACTGGTTCTATTATTCCAGGAGTCTGACCCCTTTGTAACACTGATACCAAATTAGATGTCTAATTTTGGTATTCTTTATCACTCTACTGAATTGCTCCATAATTCTTTTTTATTTTGTATTTTTCTCAAAAAATAGTCTATCCATTGAGGTCTAGTCAGCCTATCTAGAGTTCCTTGTTTTGGGAAGATCAGCTCTTCTTCACCTAGCAGCAATCAGTTGCCAATATTTCTTCAGATAATATTGGGGTCTGCTGTTCATTTCCCCAGTTCTATACTGGGTTTTTGTCTTCTTGAGTTTACATGGGGCTTGTGTATGCTGACACCATTGCAATAGAATCATATGAGCAGGTTCCTAGGAGCTTGAAGGACTCTATTTCAAGTTCATATGATGAAGTTGATATTTAAATTTTAACTGGATTTTTCTCATACAAAATCATAACTAAAGTCCTGTTCTCATTCTCTTAGTCTCTGGCTATACTGTTCTATTTTAGCCAAAAGAAAAAAAAATCAGTATATGTGACAAAATCCGCTTAAATGTTCACTTTCAAATATATTTTGTTTATCATTTAAAGAGTAGTAATTTGTGAATAACCAAAACAATGAGGCTGTCTTTAAGGATTTTAATCTGTAAGTTTCTGAAGTCTATTATTGATGTCATTTTCTTGTATTTTACACATTTTCCATTAAATTCTTATACACGTAAGGTTTTCTTATACTTCAATTCCTAGAGTGCATATTTTGATAGATAACTATTACCCTAAGAGGTGTATTTTGTAGCTCTCTGTCACAGGATGTGCATTTCTGCTTCATGGAAATCAAGTGGAACTGATTTTGGCTCAGGTAACATTTTGTTCAGTGCAGTTTCTTCTGTGTAGATACACAGTCCTTCTGGACACCTGTCACATCAGCACCCTATGGTTATCACAAAGTAGGAAGCCACAAAGCCCTGAAGTCTTATAATGAATTCATGTTCAGACTTGGTTTTGCAATGGAGTTTACAATGCCTCTGAACTCTATTTGACTGTACAGTACTTTTCATTTAAACAGCTGAGAGATATCATTCCCCCATTTGTTGGCTTAGCTGTTCTTAAATCCCTCTGAAGTAGACATAGCAGAATGAATATGCTCTAGTTTTACAGATAGAAAAAGAAGCGAGACAGATAAAGAGACATCCTACACAGCACAGTACGGAGCTGAAACTGTTTTCTAGATAGTGGAATTAAGGACTTCGTCAGATTCTAAAAATGAAGACTTCTCCTCATTCACCGGCTGCTGCTATAAGCTATACTGAGGTATTATTTAACATTTTCTCTATTATTTCATCCGATTCCTTTCAAAATATGCAAAGTTTGGAATGTGACCTGTAAAAGTCAAATACGTATTGCTGTCTTACAGCTGGCAGTGTCAGAATTGGAACTCAAACCTAGGTCTACTTCTTTCAACTGTGAACCTAAATCTATTTCTTTCAAAACCTTTGCTTTTCTCCCCCCCACCCCCATGCAGTGTCCTCATCCTAGACAGTGGCCTTTTCATCTCCCCCATATAGTGTCCTCATCTGATGCAACAGGTTTTCATTCTCCCAACACTGTCCTCATTCCATGCAGCAGCCTTTTCATCCTCCCTGATACAGTGTTCTCATTCCACACAGTAGCCCTGCTCTAATGTCCCACATGAAGCCAGCTCCTGTGTGATGTGGCCATGTTTTGTAATTAGAGATAAATTACAAAACCATATTTTTCAGGATGAGAAATCAGATACTATCACTTAATTTGTCAACAGTACCTTTAAAACATTCACTGAAGCCAGGCATGATGGTACACAGCTCTAATTCCAGCACTCAGGATGAAGAAGCAGGCAGATCTCTGTGAGTTGTTAACCAACTTGGTCTACATAGCAAGATCCAAGTCAACCATAGCTACATAGTGAGATCCTATCTCAGGACAACTACAACAACAGAATGTATTGAAATCTGCTTTGAAGCTCTTAGGCCTATAGCATTTCAGAAATGGAAATAAAGGAAATATTTTACATTCTAAATGTATACATGAGCAGTGTGGTATCTCAGCACACAGTTATATTATAAATGCTCATTAGTTTTAGCCCATAATGATGTCTTGTTAGGTTTCTTTATTTTTTCTAGATGCAGCTCCACCTTTAGACTCTTCAGGTAGTGTCCCAAAGGCATACAGATTTTATTTAATTAAAAAATATTTTATTTATTATTTTTATTTTATGTGTATGAGTGTATTGCCTGCATGTATATAAGTGTACTGGTATCATGCAATGCCCATGAAGGTCAGAAGAAGGCATCAGATTCCCTAGAACTGGAGTTATAGATGGTTGTTAGCAGCCATGTGGGTCCTGGGAATCAAACTCAGGTCCTCTGTAAGAACAGCCAGTGCTTTTAACCACTGAGCCATCCCTCTAGCACCACAGATTATATTTAAAGATAATAAAGTCATCATGAAAATGATCTTTATGATGGTTTCAGAGATATTTGTTTGGGATTCAGAAAAAGTAAAGTAAAGTAACATGAAGAAAGACTTGGGTACTCAAAGGATAGAAAACATGTTTTCGTAAACAGGAAAGGAGTTAGCATTAAACACATTTCTTCGCTGAAGCAAATGTGACTAGCACATGAACAGTATTTCTACCTGACCCATCAATTCCTCATTCTGAAATCAAAAGGGGGAAGTTAAGTAGAAGAGCAACTTCTCAACCACACAGTGGTTGCCGTGACAATGAACCACAATGTGCAAGTAAAGAACAGCACAAGAAATGACTTGGGATCCTTGGGAGGAAATGAAATCTGCGAGGGGTGAAGGTTGTAGGTAGGGGAGATCTGTTGAAGTGCTGACAATACTTCCCTTCGAGAAGTTTACCACAGTAACACAAGAAACTGTGTGAAGTAATAACAGCGGTAAAGACGTGTTTCCTGATCTGTAGGAAGTCAGTCTAGTGGAAGACTGTCATAATTTCAAAGAAAAGCCTATTGTGCCAGAGGAGTGTAATGAAGCTCAAACAGTGAATGCTTAGGAAAAAAAAACAAACAAAAAAACATAAGCAGGATGAGGTGGCACACACCTTTAATCCCAACACTTGGGAGCCAAAGGCAGGTAAATTTCTGTAAGATCCAGGCTAGGCTGCTCTATATAGTGAGTTCTAGGCCAGCAGGTGCCTGGGAGACAGGGAGAACTTGTCTCAAAAAAACAAAACTAACTAAACTAACTAACTAACTAACTAACTAACTAACTAACTAAATAAATAAATAAATAAATAAAACAGTATCAGAGAAGAATAATTTGTGTTACATCTTAAAGGAAATGGGAAATATTAACAGCTACTGTGGAAAGGGGAGACGTGAGGGGAGCATGCTGGGCATGAGAAGAGTGCAGAGCTCATTCGCATTCTCAAAGTTTTTCCCCTCCTTATTACTTCATTATAATGTTCAGTTTTCCTAGAGTGTTCCTCTTCCTCTAGAAGATTATCACCTGTCAGGGACAGGTGAGGGGTTTGTGAGTGCTATATCTACATGGCCTGGAGCCTGGCTAACACTGGGTACATGGAATTCAATGTATCTATGATCCATAAATAGACTATTTATGAATGATGCACCATGAAACACACAGAATTGAGAGAACATGGAGTATACGAATTGTAAGGAATGTATAGAGTATTGTACACGGGGTAGGTGGAAAGTGGAAAGAAAAATACAAAGAGTTTAAGATACAATGTCTGAGAAGTCAGGAAGAGCTCCTGAAGCTTATGCACACAAGATAATCTTGGTATACAATACACTGCATTTTACTGAATTCTCTTAAGGATTTCATAAGCTAGTCATTTCTGATAAAGTGAAGGCAATCTTTCAATTTTTAAAAAATATTTACAGAATCCCTTCTTTGTGCCAAGCAATGCTAAGAGCTAGGCACATAATGAGATGGAATATTTTCCTGTTAAATTTTACAACCCAGTCTAAATCCATCATTTAATCAATTTTAAGTGCAATGCATATTGGCTCAGTTTTGTGCTATGTGCTTGATGTTCAAGGAAATGAAAAAGAGAGAGAGAAAGAGAGAGCTCTCATACTTAGTACAAAACAGAAAAATATGAATTGAACTATGAACCAAGTTCTATCAAAGTACACTGTGAGGAAATCATGTGACCTGATTTAGCCCTGATTTAGGTTTCAAAGACATGCATTTAATTTGATTTCAATTTAAACGAATTTTGGGTCTTCAGAAGCCCTAACTCTATGTTAAAAGCTGTGCATGGTGACATATATACACAGAATTGTAAGTGAGCAGCTCTGGAAAGAAACATGACCCACAGTAACTTCATGCCGACAGTTAACAATCATTCTATAGTGAATATAAAGAAAAATTAAGAGATAAAGAACAAATCTAAACAACTGAAATGAGGTTTTAAAAACACAAAGTCTGGGCGCTGGAGAGACGACTCAGCGGTTAAGAGCACTAACTGCTCTTGCAGAGGACCTGGGTTTAATTCCCAGCACCCACTTGGTGGTTAACAACCATCTGTAGCTCCAGTTCTAGGGGATCTGACACCTCCCTCTGTCCTCCATGGGCATTGCATGACATGGGTGCATTTACACACATGCTGGTTATACACTCATACACATAAAATAAAAATAATAAAATATTTTTAAAAACAGAAATATGTTATATAGATTACATAGAGCTTGGATTAACATCCCAATAACGTGCCATGCCATCAAGAAGTTTGAATATGACAATTTTTCAGAAATTTTCTTTCCTAGGACACTTCATCAAAAAAAAAAAAAAAACTTAAATGTTTCCTGAGAAACATTCACAAGCAGTATCTGACAACAATTAATTTCTTATTAAAAATTAACCAAAGTTAATGAACACAGTGGTCCCAAAGATACCCAGCCTTCTGTAGACTGGTATCTGGGCCAGGATTTCATCATTTACCATAAATGTAATATCAAAACACCAATAAAGTGGTTCCTCTGATCCTCAGGGGAAAGAGGAAATTGCCTTTTCTTTCACAAGTGTCTCTATGGTTGAAATACCCAACCATAACAATAAGAAAGAGAATTAATTCAGAAATATGAAAGTTAAGAAAACTAGAGTCTATAAATAAATCTAACAATAATAGTAATAAATCAACAGCAATAAGAGCATCACACTTGCCACTATCTTTGCCACTATACATTTGGAGATCTGTATGTGAGAAAGACAACAGTCTCCCACTTACACTCATATTCTGCTCCAGAAAGCTGTGATAAGCCAGCTATTTGAAATTCAGCAAATTACTTATAAAGCATGTTTTGCTTTCCATGGGGAGTTACAAAATCTGGCTTATTCAACAAACATTTATGGAGCGATTTACTTGATAGGACTGCTGGATTAGAGAACTTGCATTCTAAGGCCTGAATTAAGGAAACCCTACCATAATGCAGACGACAGAGAGGGGTGAAGACATGAAGTGGAAGAAAACCATGTCCTGTACCCTTTACTCTGAATTTCTGAAATATAGACGTTTGGTGTTCTATTCCCTCTAACATTCATCCCTCAGAGGCCCTGCTTCTTCTCACCTCCCTGTATCCACAGTTTGCCCCAGGTCCCCCCATCCAGCTCCCAACCCATTGTATTTTCAAAGATTGTTCTGCCCTTCAAAGTGCCCCAAGCAGACCTCTCCTCCACCCCCTGTCTCGTTCAGTTCTAGACAGCATATTTTGCCTAGAGTAGCTGGCCTGGGGGACCCCATGATCTGCCAGTTCCCTCACCATTCAATCCCAGCTGGGGTTACAGGTGTGTATGCTATGCCTGGCTTTTTTTGTGGGTGTAGGGAATCCAATTCAAGCCCCTATGTTGTACTTTACCCAGTTACAAAATGCTTCATGTTTACTTTAACCTCTCTCTCTCTCTCTCTCTCTCTCTCTCTCGTCTGTCTCTCTCTCTCATAGAACTCAACACATGGAGACTATGTAGTTTCCTATGGTTTGCATTTTGCTGGTTTCAAGCTTATCCTGGGGTTTCATGCATTCCATTCTCTATATCTAGTGGAAGACAGAGCTACTCCAAGGTTTGATCAGACTTGGGGTCAGTGCATTTGACAGACAACGCTGTCCGTCATCAGAAGATGCACTTCTACACTTTAGCATTTTGTGATGTTGGCAGCAATTTACGCTTAATGCCTGGAGCTGTTAATCAGTTGGAGCTACCATGATGGTTTCACCAATTGGTATGGATATTTTTATAAAAACATACGCATCTGCCCTGTTTTATTAGCCTATGGCATATTACTTCCAGGAAAAAGTAATCAGTACTTATATTTTTCTTTGTTTACTAATTTTCAAGATAATGAACTGATTCTTTATCTGCACTCAAATGTAACAAGTTAAATTTTCCAAACCATCATTATGAACTTGTGAGTTTAAACTCACTTCCTTGACCTGAAACCACTTCAATTTTTAAAATCAGTTTTCAGGTTCAAGTTTTTCATCTCTGGCCACAAGAAGGTTTTTAAAAAGTTGATTCCTATGTCATTTTATTATGAATTGATAAAGAAAGAGAATTTAGTTGTCAGCTGTAGTTGTAAATTTCTCCATTTTCTCCTTGAATTCTGACAATTCCAAAGAATTTCATGTATTTTTAAATACTGGTATAAAGCACAGGCACTTTTGATGGTTTTATGGTTTTGTCCTTTCATTATGAAATGCTCACTTTCTCCCTAGCAATACTTGCTCTCTTAAATTCCCTTTCTCTTACATTTATATAGCCACTATAACCTTATAGATTTTCTTTTTCTTTTTAAAGTTTCTACCCTTTCATTTCCTACCAATCTCAAGTGACTGTAAAGTGTGTGGGGGAGGTGGGGGTGTTTGTTCCTATTTTTCCACTTACTTTAGCTTCATTTCTAAAATAATTTTATTTCATTTATCAATGAGATATTTAAGTTTTGGATTTTTCAAAGTCCGTTTATGTTTGCTGCTTAGTTATTGATTTCATCATCTTCTGCATGTATTTAGCTCATTTGGAAAGGCTAGGTAATAACATACTTTTCTGCCATATTTCTTTTCTTCAGAAATGTTACCCTGTTTTACTCAAGCTTTTCTTTTAGCTTTGAATGTGATTTTACTTCGACTTTTCCTTTCTTATTTTTGTGTGAAACTAGGTTTTTCTGGACGTTAGTGTATGACCAGATGTTCTAACTTCATAGAAGTGTTTTAAACTACAATGACTCCCTCTTGAGATGTGCTGACCCTGTTCCCTTAGTCCATTTTCATATCTTCCTTTATACGGCCCTAATCTAACTGGCCTTTGCTTTCCCTAAAGTCTTGGACATCATGGGCTTCAGTCATGGTAGGTAAATATCCTTCCATTCTCCAGCTTCTCCTCAGACTGGCTGGCAGTTTTGAGGTGCGTGGTACTAGAACTACTTCAACTTCACCAGAAATTCTCCCTAGAAAACTTTTTCAATTTATCTCAGAGAACAACGACTCTCCTATTTCAACTGTTGATTCTAAGTTGGTCTATCTGACATTCCAGTCACTATCTCTTCTGGGGGGTCCTGTTCTCAAGTCTAACAATGTATTACTTCCTTTTCCTCCCTTTCTGCAAACACTGATTCCATGGAGGTTTGAAAGCTGTTGGTTGCCACACTCAATTTACTGAAAATAGTTCGTGTGGAGTTTTGCTATAAATATTGTACTTGAGTTTTCAGATCCAGTGCCTGGTAGAAATTCAACAAGATCCAAAGGCTGTGTCGGCCATTGGCATCAGCTTCTGATACATCCATTTTTTGATAAAACAGTTTCCAGATCTATCAGATGTGGAAGAGACCATAGAGGATGCTACCCACAAATGAGAGCCATTAAGAAAGTACACATAAATAATAGATTACAGTACTGACAAATCAAGGAGTTGAAATTCATCCAGTGAATTCACCCAGCTCTGACTTCACACAGCAGTGAGGGGAAGTGGTAACACTTTTCAAAATGTATTCTTCAGGAGTTAACAAAAATAAGATAGCTTTTGGATTCCAGCAAACATCACTTGAGAAATAGCAAGCAGAGGCAAAGGAACCCACCTCTTCTTTTAAAACAGGATAAACTAAGGAAGTGGTTAAAGATTTTTAGAAAGATATTGCAGAAGAAATCAGTTTATATATTTAACTCAGAAAATATTTGTCAGTTTAAAAATGATGTACTCTAACTTTCTTACCTTATACCAGGTGACGGTTGGTTTGACACTGGAAGGAAAATATCCATCTACATTTGGACAAGTGATTCTATGAATTCCATCTTCTATATATAGTTTATGCACTGCCAGTTTCATGGGGGACTTGAAACAGCTATCTTTTTGAACAACTTCAAGGGGAAATGCAACTTTGCTGCAATACGTAGTATTCCTAAAAAGAGAAATACACAATGAACAGAAAGTCTTATGTGTATTTGACTTAATATAGCTGGGATTTCTTTATATCTGTAAGCTTATGTAACTATTAAATGACTTAAGACATTTCTTTTACCGATTATCATCACAGACCAAAAAGCAAATGCAAGTATATTCTATTAATGTGCTCAAACAGTAACACACTATACATGACTTTACACATGTGTTTTCAAACTTTTCATTTAGAATATTCGTTGTAACAGTGTTCTTGTTAAAGCAGAGGTAAGAAAGGCATATTCATGCATAGTGGGCAAGGATACAACCATGCTCTGGAAAAGTAATGTTTCCAGGATAAGGTTAGCTTCTGATCTAGGAATACTTTGTCTGGGATAGTTTCACAGGATCAAAATATGGAAAAGGGAAATAAAGGCAGCATATAATAAAACATATCCATACAGTGCTGTATCAGCCAGGAAAACATTTGAATCAGTTTAAAAATCAAACGAAAAAGAAGGTGATACGGAAAACCATGGTGAAGTATTCAAAATTATTGTAAGCGCATACAAACAAAATCAAGCAGGACAGGCAATAACAAGCACAGAAACTTGGCAGATGAGTAGGAAGCTGTGTAATACGTGTTTGCTCAGACCAAGCCATGTCTCTAAGGGGTTCATCTCTGTTACTCTCTCTCCACTGCACACCTAAATTAGGTCTCCTATTTGCTGATCACCTTGGATTGATCGCCTTGGATGTTCTTGATTAAATATACTGTAACTCAAAATTATATGATTCCATTATAGACACTATCTGTATCCTTGGCACATGTAAATTTCACACCCCCATTTGTGTTTCTTTATTATATCCACTGCATCTAGTGTAGTATCTAAGCTTTCAGTAGGCAGGCAATAAACAAATATTTGTTGAATGAATGAAATGGATATAATTGTGTATATATTTATTGGAAACCAAGAAAGTCTTCATGGAATAATAAAAATAACTATTTAGAGTGATGTTATATTAAGTTTTTCAGTGTCCAACTTTTTCATAATTTTTAGCTTTAGGAGACATTCAATGACTTACAAATTATTACTAAATACTGCAATAGAAAACACAGAGTATGCATGGAGGAGAGCAATGCTTAAAGACACCTGGTGGCAATAACAGAATTGTGGAAGAAGGGAATAGTGGATAGGATCTCCGGTGGTAAATAACAAATAACCTATCATGTGGAAGATGGAATCTACTGGCAGAGATTGTAGATATTATGTTTCATTTTAATATATAAAAACATTTTCCAATTTGAATAAAGTGATGAAAAGTATTTGGACTGAATTTTGAAACACCAAAAATTGAATAGAATTAAGTAAGAATATAGATAGGAACTATAAGAAGGCGAATCTAACTTTATGGTCTTAAACGTAATGGTCCTATGAACACACAGGTTTGGTTAAAGGTCATTCTCAAAGTGTTTGAATCCCCTCCAGGCAATGGGAAACTTGGAAGGGCTTCCAATTGACAATTTAAATTCTAGGTTTCCTTTAGAGACATGGAAGTAAAGAAAGTCTAGTTAGTGTGTCACAGTTTTCCTTCTATAGATGGGCACAGCAAAGAAGACACAATCTGAAAGTCAGTAATTACAGTAAAAATAAGCACTTTCTAGACAAGCATTTCTATTCCTGTAATGTAAAAAGATTTATTGGAGCCAGACAGGTGGTTTAGTGGGTAAAGGTGCTTGCCAGCAAGCTTGATGGCTTGAGTTAAATCCCTGGAACCCATGTGGTAAAAGGAGAGAACTGACTCCTGCATGTTGTTCCCTGACTTCCACATGTATGCCATGACACCCCCACCCAATAAATATAAATAAATACATGCAAGAAAGTTTAAAAAGAACGCTTAGCCAGGAGTGGGTGATGAAGCAAAATTTGTAGTTTCTGAGGTACCAAATTAAGCAAGCATCCAGCGATAGCTCATTCCCAGTGATTTGCTGATATTCCCTTGGGAAAGGTTTAACAATTGTCAAAGACAAAACGAGTTCAAAGATCATGAATTCAAGTTTTCTACAGTACAGATATAGATGCCAAACTCCAGAATGCACACAACTTGCCTAAGTTTACCAGCTAAGTAGTAGCAAAATTGGATTGGTTCTTCAAATTTTTCACAAAATGTTCTTTCCAATATGAACTGCTTTATACCCATATTTATGCCAACTTGTATTTGGACAGAAATAACAGGAACATGAACATTCCAGGCTCCTTGGAAGCTTACATAGGAGTACAGGCACATGTCAATAAAATTATTAGCAGTTGAGAGCCTCAAAGCCGCTTCCCCAGGTTGCAAGGTCCACACCCCCAAATGCCCGATGATCCAACAACTTTTCCATGATCAAGTATATCACATTTTCCAAAACATTGTTCTAACTTCCCATCAGACAATAGTTAACACCCATGATGGAGAAAGGAAATGGTCTTACTTATTATTATGGGATGAAATGTGTCTATACTATACATAAATTTATGTTAATTTTTTGGCTCACAGAATCTCAGGACTGCACTGCATTTGGAATTAGGGTCAATACAGCTGCTTTCATTGTAAAGAAGAGAGCAGAACACAGATACTAGAAGACCATACAAAGGGACAGAAGATGAACATGCACAGGCTAAGAAGAGAGGTGCTAGGAGTGAATCTCACCCTGCAACTATGATGTCAGACTTATAGCTTCCATTTGTGATATTTTATTATTACAGCTCTAGAAAACCAGTATACTTATTAAATAATAGGGAACTGTGTTAACATTTTTAAAAAAGACATATCCTATATAAGACTTAGAAAACAAATTGTGACCTGATAGCTAAAAGGACTATGACAGGTAAGCCCAACAACAACAATTCTTTGGAGTGACTTTAGGTGGTTTGAAAAAAAATACATATTAATTTTTATTTTATGTGTATGAATGCTTTGCCTGCATATTTGTTAAATGTACCTATGTCATGCAATGCTCATAGTGGTATAAAGAGGGCGTCAGATCTCCTGAACTATAGTCAAGGAGCATTGGTTAGCCACCATACTGGGGTGCTGGAAATCGAACCTGGGTCCTCTGCAAGAGCAACTAGTGCTCTTAATCACTGAGCCATCTCCTCAGTCCCTGTTTTGAATATATATTTTTAGCAAATATCCACATGCAAGCTATGAAATTTACACAGATGTTTAAGAACAAAGATGGATTTGAAAATCTTTGATTGGCTGCCTTACATTGTGTTCTTAGATTCCCAGCAACATGGTCTTCTAAGGAGAATTTTGGCAGAAAATTTAAAAGCGTTATGTTAAATATATTTGTTAAGTCTCTGCAAAGAACTTTAAGAGAAAGCCAAAGGCAACAGCCCCAGTGTGAATGGGCTCCACACTCTTCCTTTTCTAGGGAAATGGTTGCTTCCAGCAGGAAGACATGTAGGTAGGATCCAATGCTACTGGGGCCACCTTCAGCCTGCACTGACACGTGTCACTTCTCTAAACGAACCGGCATGAGGAATCTTCACAGGGGCTCAGTCATTCTTTCTGCACACCTCTGCACACCTCCCTTCTCCTCCTCAGCTAGGCCTCTGAGGTAAGGCATTACTCATCTAAATGCATGATTTCCCTCCCCAGTTTTCACGGCATATTTATCATTTGAACAAAAGCCCAGGAACCAAAGGAAAAAGGGAAAGTCACCACTGAGAAGCACCTACCTCAACATGCAGGTGTAGTTGCCTGTGTCATTGAGGAGGGTGGGCCGGAACCACAGCACGTCTTTCTCTTTACTGATGCGGTTTTCTGGGAGGCGGAAGTTAATGGGCTCCTCCAGGTCCCGGTCTTGCCTTGTCCAGTACCAGATCAGGGTAAGACCAGATGAATGGGCAGTGCTGTAGTTGTACTTCAGGAAGTGTTCAAAGAGCGGGCACTTGATGCGAGCTGGTTCATCTTCAAATACTTGGATTTGTCTCATGGTATCCAGTCCCCAGTCATCACAGCGTTCTGGAAAAATCAAAACTAGGTAAGGGCAAGAGAGTCATTTTACAATAAACACCCCAGAGCACACTTTCTTCTCAGATACCATGTCTTTATGAGACGTCTCTTTCTCGTGCTAATAAACGTGCATTGTAAGCATCCGTGATGAGAAGAAACCCTTTCTCTACGTTTCTTATTGTCTTGGGAGTATCTTTTGATCTGGTAGTTGGGTACTGTGTAACCCTATGTGGAATGGAGAATTATTTCCAAGAAAAAAAAGTGCACACACTTTTTCAGAAAGGTCTTAATGAAGAAGCCGTAACTTAACCGTTGTCTGGATGAGGGAAAGACAACCAAGTCTCAACAGGTCCCCTGCTTTGGAGGCCAGTCTGTACTTCCCAGTAGAAATATAATATGAGCCACAAATACAAATTAAGGTACTTATGTGTCACATTAAGAAAATAAAAAGGGGCTGGAGAGATGGCTCGGCGGTTAAGAGCACTGACTGCTCTTGTAGAGGACCCGGGTTTGATTCCCAGCACCCACATGGCAGCTATGAACTGTCCTTAACTCCAGTTCCACAGTAACCCAAAGCCCTTTTCTGACCTCTTCAGCATTGCACGACATGGGTGCACTCACATACATGCAGGCAATACACTCATACACATAAAATAAAAATAATAAGCAAAATACTTTTAAAAAAGAAAATAAAAAGATGCAGGTGAAATTAATGTTGATACTGTATTTTGCTAACCCCAATATATCCAATAAATCAAAAATTAATGGTACTCAATACATTTACATTTATTGTAGTAAATCTTCAAAATTCTCTATGTTACACTGACACACATCAAAGTGGGCTGACCATGTGTGTATGAGTGATCATACTGTATACAAAAGACTGTAGAGCATAGAGATAAATGTGCTAGTGCTACAATGATTAAAATATCAAATACAATTTTACAATTTAATTTTTAATGAAAGGTAATCATTGATGTATTCAGGACAAAAAGACATGATAGTTCATTACTTCTTTTCTTAATGTAACATTACAGATGTCACCATAAGAATATAGAAAAGCTGTCAGAGATATAGGTAAAATACACATACTACACAACAAATATAATTTATAACATATACATATATAATACATATATAATGCATATAAATTTTAAATGCTGTATAAACTTTCTTACATTGCAATTGACATCTAAAATGTTAGTTACAATAAATGGATCACATATTTTGCACTGTATTATAAGTAATGGACATTTTAAAAATAAATTGGTAAACAAGGATGTGAAAGACTTCTACAATGAAAACTTTAAAACATTGAAGAATGAAATCTGAATGTCCTATGGAGCATCAAGGACCTCAGATATACAAAGCAATCCTGAGCAAAAAGTACACTGCTGAAGGTGTCACCATATGTGATTTCAGGTTTACTACAGAGCCCAGTAATCAAGACGGCAGAGTGCTGGCACACAAGCAGACACATAGATGAATGCAGTAGGATGGGGACACAGTCACAAGACCACAAAACAATGGCCACCTGAGTTTTGACAAAGGTACCAAAACTATGGCCACACTATTTAAATATAAGTGCCTCACTCCCTGAGTGATATTGGAAATGAAAACCCAGGCATTATCAAAGTTTGAGAGACCAAAACCATAAGCCAGAACAGTGTATTCTAAGAGGTAGGTGGTGACCTCTGCACTTCTCTCCATTTTAATGGGCAATATATTTCTGTACCTAGTGAATCAATCAACTGGAACTGGAGATAACAGCGCTTTGGATGGAGACATGTGAAATCCATCTGCCAATCTTCCCCTGACATAATTCCCACACACTGGATGAGAAATAGTAGAGGAGGGGCCTGAGGTAGTCCTCGGGATTGGCCTAAAAACAGGTATGATAAAGCCCTAGGATGGTCTTCAATCCCTGGGAAAGTCTTTATCTCATGAAGAGTTACTCAATTACTTTGGAGGTCTTTGGCTGCAACCATAAGGCTTGATGACAGTTGTTAAGGATTTTTCATTCTCTAGAACTTTTAGCTCTCTCTTTGGGATGACAATGAAACCTTGTTCTAAAGTCTTCTGGATTTTTGAACCTGAGAATGTGGGAGAGATCAGAGCAAGATGGCCTAGAGTAGAAACTGAGCCAGCTCCCTGTTTAGTCTGTTGATCTACTTAGTTGTCAATGAAGGAATGTTGGAATGGTTTTTCTGATAGGGCTTGCAGCATAGTGGCCACCTGGATAGGAAGCCAGGCAGTTTCTAGAAGCTCCAGAGATTAACCAACACACCCCTGAATAATGAATGAAATTATGAAATACATAAAAGTATTCCTGGAATGAAATAAAACAACACAACAAAACCTCTGGGACACTTTGAAAGCAATCCTAAGAGGGAAGTTTACAGCTCTAAGGTCCTATAATAAAAAAATCAGAAAGAGCACACATAAATGACTTAACAGTACAACTCAAAACTCTGGAAAGGCAAGAAAAAAATCCAAACCTAGTAGATGAGAAGAAATAACATAAATCATAACACAAATTAATGAAATAGAAACAAAGAAAACAATACACTGTTGTATGAAAAATGCTAAACAAGATAAAGACCCTTAGCCCAGTTAACCAAAAGAAAGTTTAAATTAATAAAATCAGAGATGAAAGGGGAAGCATCACAACAGACACCCCCAAAATTCAGAATATTATAAGGGAATACTATACTTTAAAAACCTATATTAGGTGCTGGAGAGATGTCTCAGTGGTTAAGAACACTGGTTGTTCTTGCAGAAGACCAGGGTTCGAATCCCAGCACCCACATGGCAGCTAACAACTGTCGGTAACTCCAGTCCCAGGGGATTGGACAGCCTCTCCTGCCCTCCGCGGGCATTGCATGATACGGGTGTACTTACCTACATGCAGGCAACACATGCATACACATAAAATAAAATAAAATATTAAAAAATCTAAAAAAAACTATACTATATTAAAATTTAAAATCTAAGAGAAATAGATGAATTTCTAAATTTATGGAAACTACCAAAGTTAAACCAAAAAGAGATCAACAGCTTAAACAGACTCATAACAAATAAGGAAATTGAAACAGTAATACAGAACCCTCCAACTAAAAGAACCTAGGCACAGATGGAGTCACAGTAGAATTCTACAAGACATTCAAAGATCTACAACCAAATATTCTTAAATGATGCAAAAAGATAGAAACAGACAGAGAACTCCCAAACTACTTCTGGGAAGCCAGTTTCACTCTAAAACCCAAACCATATAAGGTAAGATCCTTTTTAAATCTTTATTTTGTTGTACATCCCTCTGTTAATCACATGTAATGAAACAGTGATTCAATATATGCAAATATTAAAGTTATGATTATTTTCTTAATAACTGAATAATTTTAATAAACAAATATTAAAGTTAGAATTATGTAAACAAGTCTTTTCAACACTATGAATTCTATAACCTTTTCCTTTCTTTTTGAACTTGTATTAATTCTAGTATTCCCACATTCATTGAATATTATTGCTATGTTTTCTACCGTTTAAAAAATGTTTTATCATCATATTTGTCTGTATAGTATATAAATTTGTAAGTGTGAAAATATTTTTCATTAATAATTTTTATTTTGATTATCATACATACAATTTAAATATATATTTTAAATTTTCTAATTGCTAAATTTAAAATACAAAATTTTATTACTATTAAGTTTCTAATGGAATTTTTATAAAAATTTGACTAATTTTTTATAAATTAACACTAGAACCTTAAAAGGGAATAAGGATTGTTTAGCATCCCCAGGAAAAGAAGTCTCACAAAAGATGGGCTCTACTTTTTGATGTCATGTTTCTGGAGAGGACCCCTGAGTTTCAAGAATGAAAATCCAATGTTAAAAGCACATGAGAATGGATATTTTCCAAAATAGACAGAAAAAATGAGAAAGCCCAAGTAAGTGATGAAGGTCTATATAGGTTTGTTATGATATATAAAGGATGAGACAAAAATAATATACACATAATCTTAAAATTTCTATGGTCATATTTTTTCAACTAGTTTAAGGAACAAAATATATATCTAAGCAAAGTTTATCTGAGAATATGTTTTTTTGCCCAAGCTTTATCTACATAGTATATGATAATTAAATTTACCAGACTGGTGGAACTAACCTTATTGGATGTTCAACAGCCATAGTTTGAGGCGTATACTTATTTGGTCAGAGAGACTTAAAGGACAGTTTTTGCCCTTGCCCTCCAAGGTCGACTAAGTTCCAGGGGACTATGGAACATCTCTTAAAATGTCCAGTAACTATGGTGAGTCGCCTGTCCTCTTGTTCAGGGAGGAAACATCTTATTCATGCTTCCAAGTGAAGCCAGACCTTTGACTTATCTTCACATAGATGGAACTTGTAAAAGAAAGGAGCCAGGGGCTCCTCCCAAGGCCCTGTGACCCCTGAGGAACAGATCCTCAAATGACCTTAAGTATAAAAATAAATTGATTTATTTGGACCAACTGTATGGTCTTAAACACCCCAAAGAAAAGTATGACCAAAGAGTAAAGTCATCAGTATATTTCTTTAAGAGTTCAAGGGATTATACTTTCCAGACATTAGGCTTAAGTCCATATAAAAAGTTATTTAGAAAATTATTTCTCATTGATGATTTTGTTCCTAACCAGGAAGTGCTGCTCAGATGTAAGACTTCAGATCTTGGTTTCCAATACTGTAGTGCCCACCTGAAGCTAAGGGAGACAACTTGTTATTGTTCTAAAATGATGGATAAATTTGTTTTCTCCCCGTATCTAGAAGCCTTTAAGAGGGAACTGACACTGGTTCTAACCACTCCAACAGTTATCACAATACCTGAAAGCAAATTCTGAATCCATCAATCTACAGTCCAATCTTGGAAGACAAAAGAAAAATGAGGAAAAACCCAATAGAGGGATGCTTTGCCCTTGTCAAGAAATTCCAATGGACTCTCATATGAACATTTGAAAATTGTCCTGTTCTGAC